GAGAATTTGAGTTAAGGTGGAGATTGTTGGGTAAGTGTCTTAAATTAGTTTTAGAAAAGTTACTATTTCATGTTTTTTGGTAAGTTATTATTTTTTGTTTTGGGTAAGAGTTATTTTATAGTTTATTAAGAGTCTATAAATAAGTGTTTTGTGTAAAGTTTTATGTGTACTTAAAGAAAAGTGTGTTCAGAGAAAAATATAGAAAAAGAGTACCTCCTTTTGAGAGAAATAGGGGAAAGTGAGAAGAAAGATAAACAAAGAGTGTAAGGGGTTTTAGGTAAAGAGAGAAAGTGAGAAAGTTTATTGAGTGTGTAATTCTTAAAATTGTCAGTGAATTTTTCTCCCTTTTCCGTAAGCGTAGAAAATTTTTTCAATTCACCTAAACTTTTGTTTTCTCTATTTTTTTATTATTTTTTTCAATTTATTTTTTTACTGCGTGAGTATAGAGGTGTGTTATTCCCCAATATAATGAACATCATCAAATATAGTAATTTACATCTAAGACTAATATTACGATAGTTAGTGAAAAATTTCCAATCACTAGCTTGGTTATGAAATTCCAAGACGATACGCAAGCCGCATTCTCACAGAATCGACGGATGTGGTTGCATCGAGAGCTTTGGTTTAGTATAATTAAATAAAAGAGTATTGTGAGTTAATGCTATATGAAAAGACCTGACTTGCTATCCAACATTGAGAGAGACAGTTAGTTATTGAAGAGTAGATGAGATGGTAGTTTTGGAAGTCAGCTGAAAAGCTACCACCAAATGAAATGGGGGCCTTCCAGGATTGAGCAGACAATAAAGAAAGGAAACAAAAGCCAAGGCTATTCTATACTTCATTGAAAAGAGATTTGACTGTTCACTTTCATGTTACTCATTTCATGAATGTTCACATTCTGGTTGTGATGAAATTCTGCAATGAATGAAAATGGACGTAACTCTCACATCAAGAGTGAACCACTATAAATATTGCGTGTGTTTTCTTGTCTTTCTTTATTTTATTGCTCTAGTCAGTAAAAGGATTATGGCTTAATCCGTATCATGAAGAAACTGAACAAAGGAATTAGGACTCCGGTGTCTGCAAAAACAGGACGTTGGCCGGAACAAACAAGCATGTAACAAACAAATTTAAGAACACGATTGAACAAAACTTAAGGCATTAAATAAGCTAGAGTAGATTGTAGTTGATTTTCCAGCAACAAAATTCTACTTGATTGTCCCTCAATGTCATAATATGGAAACAAGAGAAACAAAATGTTCATACTTAGGCTTTAAGTTGCCGCGGGAAAAAAAAAGTACATTCCTCATATTTCAGTAACTGCCCTAATGGCCGACCAATCTTCTTAGTTTGAAGCATGTATGTCTTTCATCAGAATGTTAATTGGGGTTTTGACTTACTATATGTGTTTTCAAGAAGGTAAGACATTTATCAAGTGATGAAAAAGAGATTGATAATACCAGAAATTTCCTGATACAAAAGTAATTTATCAAGTGGCAGTTAGAACTATATTTATTTTATACAAACAACTAGATAGGATAAAGTGCCCAATCCTCCCATTATTAAACAATTAATTTTCAAAAATGACGAGTCATTTGATTTGCAAGGAATCACAATAATCTTGTCAGACGGTATATAGTGGTTCAAATGGTTAGGCATATATAACCTAGCAACTTCACAGTTTAAAAAGATGATCACTGAAGAGGTAAAACAACTACCAGTCACAGTCAACAACTAACACAAACTTGTATTCATTATCGATCAAATCCATGTGCGTGCGTACGTTGGCAAGCTTCAATGTTACAAAAGTAATGAAAATAGTAATAGACCTTACAAAATGCTTATTCGAAAAAGGAATGACGTCCGTCTGCTAACGTTTGCAGGTGACTCGCGAATAATTTTTATTCAGGAATCGACATTCTTACAAGACAAAATCTAAATGAAAGAAGGGTGGAAAGTGAGGGAGAAGTGGACTGCGCCAAGAACGACAATACAAATAAAGGAAGATGGAAATAGACAAAAAAAACTTTGGTAAAGAGTAAAGAAATTATGTAAGATCCTTGACCAATGCAGGCGACTTGTGATCACCCATCACAATGTGCTGACAAAACACACAGATTTATTAGGTACAAAACCATAGCAAGAGATCTACAACAGTGCAACGTATGATGTCTCGAATTCATCGCTACTTTTACGGCGAAAAGCCATCCTACTCTTAAGGAGTATTAACATAATCGAACATTTAGCCCATTGTAGTATTCTAACACCACTCTTGAGTTCCTTTTTTGTCAAAGACCAGCAGCATTTTGCTGCTAAAAGCGCTTCTCTGCTCAAAGAAACGTTTCAAATGGCTATGGAGGAGCATACTACCCCAAGAAGAGAAACACTGTGTTATTTGGTTGGGGAATTCGTTCCCTGATTCGAATCATGATTCGTGGTTTGTTACAATATTTTCTCTCATAAAAAATACACATAAATCGAAAATAATTCTAATCACACGGTTTTAATTTATGAACCAAACGTCTCTTAAATGAAAAAAATGCTACTACAGAAAGATGCTTTGCCAAGCCAATTCCCATGCTCAGCTTCTAAAAAGCATCTATCCAAAAGAGCAGTAGCAAAAAGGAAATGTTTCACAGTAAATGAGGACAAAAAATTAGTGAAAAAGGCTGAAACCAAGAAGTACTTTTGCTGTAATGCAAACTTTTCTAAAGTTGCTTTGAAGCTCTGTTCTAAGGGAAATGAAGGGTGTAAATATGACTGTCCCAATCATGACTGAGCCTTCCAAGTTCCAACTACTGTCACATTTGAAGTGAGAAAAAGATTAAAGAGAAACCGGCCCACCAAAGACCAGACCGCATCAGTAAAGAATAATATTCACCATAGGTAGCTTAATACAAATGTGAAAGGCCCACTAAGATTCATCCATAGCCGCTAAGAATTAGATTGGATATCATAATTCTTTTTATTTACCGAGGAAAGTACATATCATGATTTTATACATATTTATTATTTATTTTATTTTAAATAATTAAGTGTCATCATATGATTTATTATTATTTTTTATTAATTAAATAATAATTATTTATTTTGAGTGGAGTGGCATATCATGTGTCTCTCAGACTCTGTTTTTCTCTGACGTCCATAACCTAACCATTTATGCAGTATTGAGGCAATAATTAGGCTCCACAGATTAAAAAACAACTGCATATATATGTAAGAATTATTATTAAAAATACCCCTTAAAATATGTACATTCCTTTAAAACAATTCAAAACACTACCGATTTATAAAAAACATATCAAAACACTCCATCGTCTAATTCTGCCAATAACCCAAATAATTTTACTGACGCGTACTGGTAAAATAAATCTACTGATGTGGCATTACCATTTAACTTAACTAAATACATTAATATTTAAAAAATGATTAAATATTTAAAAATCTGATAAATGATTAACATTAAAAAAAAAAAAACATTGTCTCCTTCCACCGCCAAAATCCTCAAACCAAGTTCTTGACCAGTGCCAAACCCTAATCCCCACCTCCACCAACCATGCTGACTCCTTCTCTTTCCTTCTCTAGTCTCGCGATTCATTCCTCACATCCAACCACAAGGACTACAACAACCTCATCCTCCCTCCTGAGTCAAATCGCTCAATCTCAACCTCAAACTAGCTCTATCTGACGTCAAGCGATTAGACATCTGTGCTACCAAGGATCCTACTCCGTCGCCGACTTCGTCACTGAAACACTATCATTAAGGGAGCTCTGTTGGATCTGTTGATGTTATTATCTTGGGATGGGTAAATGATAACACCGGCTTGTTCATTGGCACCGCTGATTTGGTCAGAATCGGCCGAGATGATCAGCTTTCTTTGACTTCGCAGCTGTTAATAGATTAATTAGAGCCGGATAATTATCGAGGACAACTTTAAAGTGCTTACTGATATTCTAAATTTAGATGAAGGCTATCCAGATTGGTTCCTTTCTTTTGTTTTTCTTACTAATAAACAGATGGCTTATGGGGATTTTTTTTAATCCTTCTTTTTGGTTTTTTTAAATCCTTCTTTTTGGTTTTTTTATCTTTGAATAAAAATTGGGTGGACGATTTTGTTTCTTTTGGATTTTTTTTTATTTTTGAGAATTTTTACTGTATTAAAATTTAAATTTTAAATTTAAATTAATAAAATAAACAGAATTTTAATTTTTAATTTTTTCACACATTTTAAATTTTTATTTTTATTATTTATAATATTTAATCACTTTTATTCATTTTATTAGAATTAAATATCTTCGATTAATGTTTAATTACATGATACTTTAGCAAAATCGCTTGGGTTACAGACAAAATTATATAGAGGGGACATTTTGATATGTTTTTATAAATTAGAATGTTTTTAAACTGTTTTAAAAAATTAGATGGTATTTTGAGATATGATACATATTTTAATGATCATTTTTAAAAATAATCTTATATGTAAAAATAATATGCTACGGTGAACTAAAAAAATAATTAAATGATCTCGTTTATTTCACCAATTTAATTTTTAAAATTAAATTTTACTACAGTAAATTTTTTAAAAAAATAACTATATTTAATTTTTTTATTATATTCACACATAAAATTATATCTCAATTTAAATTAAAAATTTAAAACAACAAACTAAACTATCAGCAAACTAAACCGGATATAATTGAACAACACACACATTTCAATGCAGCCTTTTCTAATTTGAGCGAAAGGAAACGACTTGATCAATTATAACTGAAACCCAGAAATCATTTACTTGAAATTTGAGTTCTCATTATTTGTGAGAAAATAATCGTGAAAGCCCACCACTGGTTTAAGCTCCAATTCGCCTTTGAACTTCTTGAAGAACCAAAACAGCATTGGGCAATAAGATTGAAGAAAGGCAACCTTTTTTCTGCCCCTTTTTTCTCAAGAAACAACCAGAAAGAGTACTTTCTCCGTAGAGCAAACTGAATTCTTCTCAACTAAAACCCCTTAAACGAACGTCGATTGACAGTCGTATACATCCCCACTGTGGTTATTCTTGTCGTTTGTTAATTGTTATTGGCTTTATTATTGCAAAAGACGAACATTTTTGTGGTACATAAAACTCAGACCACAGAAGCCTCCCTCTCTCTGTCCCACTGGAGAGTAAAACAGTATTCTTTCCTTTTCAAATCCGAATCTTAATCCAAATCTTTATATTTCGGGTGTCGTGATAGGTCATCATCTCCTCGGCCATAATCTCTGCGAGCCTTGAATTAGAAAAGAAAACCATCTTTCTTAACAAAAGAAAAAAAGAAAACTTGTTTTTTTTTTTTTGGCATTATTTTCTTAATTTTTTCTTTTGGGTATAGATGGCTTCCCTTGTTGCGAGCTTGCCTCCGCCATTGTTGGTCCAAGGAAGGAAAACCCTCGTAAGGACCTTTTCGAAGCTTCCAGTGTCTCCCATTAAAGGTAAGCCAAGCCTAACGCGGTTTATGAAGCAATAGTTTTTGGATTTTTTTTTCCTTGTTTTGGTTTGGAAGCATTCTGTTTTCAGTTGAAATGTACTTTCTACTTTGAATAGAAGTTTCTTATTCTTTCCGAATCCAGTTTTGTCAACATTTGAAGTTAAATACATAGTTGACTTTTATAGATTCAGCATGTTGCCAAGGTGTATATGACAGAATATGAGTTTGGTCCCAAATTCAGGACTTTAGTTCAAGAGAAAATTTTGGTTTTTGGGCTTGGCTATATAAGAGTCTTTATGTTATGTATTTGGATAATATTTGGATTTTGTAGGATTGTGGGAATTTAGAATATAAAAGAAAAGTTCATCATTTGGACAAAAGACAACCCAAAATTTTGCTAACTGGTGTTTCTGAGAAAAAGAAATATTCTTGATATCATTTCTGAAAATGCCATGAGTAAATTTTGTGTCTCTGCTGTGCTTTATTCTTGCTTCTCCATTTTATTGATTTTTGTACTTTGCAGAGAGACAGAATCGTGTTTCTGTTGCTGTGAAGGCTACTGGGGAGAACTCCGAGTCATCAACCTCTCTAAGTATCACTAAGTCAGTTCAAAATATCGTAAGTTGTCTCGCGATCATGTTGTTCTTTATTTTGAAGTGACTAACGCGAATGATTGTTTTCTAACTATGGGATTTTGTAGTTTGTATTAGTTTTTTCGCATATCAACCGTACTATTATCCGATATGGCTTTGGTTTATGCAGTGGGATAACTCTGAAGATAGGCTAGCTCTCATTGGGCTGGGATTTGCAGCTATAGCAGCTATATGGGCATCAACAAATCTGGTTTCGGTATTTTCTAAGCCTCTTTCTTCTTCTGAATTTTTGAACAACAAAGAATAATAACAATAATAACTTATACGGCTGATAGGCAAGAACTAGTGAACTGAAGGTGGAAGGAGTTGATTATGAGTTTGTCTTTGATACCATTCTTTTCATTAAGGGATTGGTATAGGCGTTTCTGCTTTGGAGTAAAATTAGGAATATGCAGATGAAGACTTAGTGTGAGTATCTTTGTTGTTGAGTGGAGCCTAACTAGGGTACTTTAAGGGTTTGAGAGATGTGCGATTTCTCTTCTAATCTTCTTCTTCGTCACTACAACAGCTGAAAGTGGATGTAACTCTAACAAGAGGGTGAACTGCTATAAATTTTGTGTTATTGTTTGTTTGCTTTTTTCTATGATTCCATTGCTCTTGCCTCTCGATAGGAAGTAGGATGTCTAATTCTTAACATTTGTTTCTATTCCCCTCCCACACACATGCACAGTTCCTTTGGCTACCAACGGATTTCGGTTACGGTCCAAGCACTGATGTCTAATTCTTAACATTTGTTTCTATTCCCCTCCCACACACATGCACAGCTCCTTTGGCTACCAACGGATTTCAGTTACGGTACAAGTACTGATGTCTAATTCTTAACATTTGTTTCTATTCCCTCCCACACACATGCACACTTCCTTTGGCTACCAACGGATTTCGGTTACGGTACAAGTACTGACCATTTCTTTCCTCCTCAAATCCACTTCCCAATAATGTGTACAGGCCATTGACAGGTTACCTATTATCCCAACCGTGCTGGAGCTTGTGGGCATTTTGTTTTCTTCAGTAAGTACCATGATGCATATCTGCTTTTCCTTACCCCGCCCACCCCCCCTTGGGATCATCTCATTCCCATATGCTTAAAAGAAGTTTCACTTTGGTTTTCCCTTTTTTTCTCCTATATATCTTGGAAATCATAGACATACATGCATATACGACGTATGTTGTATATCGTACAGAGACAAATATGTTATATATTCTGTTTATGCTTCACTTTTTTCCATTGACACGATCATCTTTACACATTTCAGTGGTTTGTCTACCGCTACCTCTTATTCAAGCCTGATAGGTAAGAAAAACTTTCATCTTCCATAGAACATTTTCTTAGTTGCATCTGAATGATGAGGATTTGTAATTGCATGCCTATAATTAACTGTTGTCCAAATATTTTAAGGACATGTTTTAACCGTATTAGAGCACAGTATTGTATAATAATACAATAATACAATATTTAGTTGTAAACTAATATGGATGGTAAATTAATATAGTCTGTTGTATCATTGAATACGTCTCATTTTTGACGTATTGTATTATTTTATAGTGGATCAATGTCGGGGTTGGGCAAGACTAGAGGTCGGGGTCGGGCCAACATAGAGTCATGTCATAGCCTATAATTGTTAAGAAATTTAGAGATCAATAATTTATGTCGGGATTGAGCAAGACTAGAGGTCAAGGTCATGCCAGCGCTATAATTGTTGAGAAATTTAGGAGGCACAATGCAAATTTTTTATTTTTAAAAATTACAATTTGACCCTAAAATTTTTATGAAATTACATTTTGACACAAAACTTTTGTAAAAGTATACTTTGACCCCAAAATTTTTATAAAATTTTAAATTGACCCCAAATTTTTTTAAAAAAATTTATATTTTGACCCCAAAATTATCAAAATTTTGCATTTTGACCCCTTATACAATACATCATGACACCAAACACCGTATTGTATTATGATAATACAACATAATACAATACACCGTATACAATACAATATAACTACCAAATATGGCCTAAATGACTTTCTCGGATTTTCTTTGGCTTTGTCTCAGAGAAGAGCTGTTCCAAATCTACAACAAAACGATATTGGATATCTTGGGCCGCCAGTGAAATGTGCTGCCATATTATGAGTGTATATTTTAAAATTAGGGTCTTTATAATGGATTACTATGGTGGCGAGAAAACAATACCACCATTATTGTTGTATTTAAGTTTCTTGTAATATCATAAACACATAAGATCCCGTTCTTTGCTGTGGTCGTTTGAAATGTTTAATTTTCTGTGTAACTAACCTCTAATTCTAGACCCTTATTTGTTTATTATAATTTTCGTAAGTGAGGTTTTTTTTATTTTTTATTTTTCCTCCCTGCAGAGCTTGTAATATATTTGTTGTTGCGTTAAGGAAAAAAGAGAGAGAGAGAGAGGAAATGAATCTAGAGGAATTGACAATCATACTCGGTATGTTTTTTCTCCCAGTAGTGGAGCCATGAACTTTTTTTTATTGGGTCGTTTCCTTGAACCAACGTCGTTTGTTCAAATTGACAATCATATATACTCATGTATTAAACCTTTACATATTCCAATAGTTTTGTGAATTTACAATAATAAACTCAGCAACCACTATAGTAGAATGGGGGATGAGCAAAATAAACGTTTAACTGAAAAAACCCTCTACAACGCCGCGTTTGATCTAATAAGTATTTAATCACATGATACGATTTGCAGTTTAAAATATTGTCACGTCAATTAATAATAAAAATTATATTTATCAATAAAAAAATATCAGCTTTACATTAATTACTACACATATCTCATTAATTACTACACAAAAATTAAAATTAGAGTCGGTCTCTTCGTTATTATTTTTCTTTTTATAAGCATTTTAACTGACTTCACTTTACAGGAGAAGTCACTCTATTAAACCTCTTTCGTGGTTAATGGAGGACAGAGCCAGGAACCTCTAGTTTGTATACGAGTATGACCCACTGGCGGCCATAACGACCACCATCAACCGTCCCCGTAGTGAGTATACTAACCGATTATAAGCGATGTTCCTTGTGTTGGTGCTTCACGTCTCTTTACTTCTTATTCTGCTCTGAAAATTCAAATGCCACTTCCCTCCGTTGCAAAGCCAAGGAGAATCTCTTTACTTTCTGAGTCTCAACATACAGCGTCCTCTCTCATTGACTCTACAATCTTTGCTTCATCATCCTTTCCCCAAACCCAATTCTCAAATCACCCACCAAATCCTCAAGGACACCACAATTCCAAACGACAAGCATTAACCTTTCCTCCTTTTAAAAGGCTTGTTGGTCAGTGCTTTCACGGGGCACCAGCTTCCTACTATGCATCTCTCATCCAATCTTGCATTACTAGAAAGGCAATCAAACCCGGAAAACAGCTGCATTCTCACCTGTGCCAAATGGGTCTTGGATTTAATACGTTTTTAGCTACTAAACTGGTCAATATGTATTGTGTTTGCGGTTCTTTATGGAATGCCCACCACTTGTTTGATAGAATTCCTAAAAGAAATTTGTTTCTTTGGAATGTTCTGATTCGGGGTTACGCGTGGAATGGCCCGTACGAGGTGGCGATTGCGTTGTATAATCAAATGTTTGATTGTGGTCTTGTGCCGGATAGATACACGTTCCCATTTGTGCTGAAAGCTTGTTCGGCACTTTCTGCTATTGAAGTAGGGAGGAAAATCCATGAACGTGTAGTGTATACCATGTGTGAAACTGATGTGTATGTAGGCGCCGCTCTGATTGATATGTACGCAAAATGTTGTTGTCCACAGAGCGCCCGGCGAGTGTTTGACAAGATTGAAGAAAGAGATGCTGTGCTGTGGAATTCAATGCTTGCAGCTTACACGCAAAATGGGCATCCAGATGAATCGCTTGCTCTGTGCAGCGAGATGGTGTTGGCGGGCTTGAGGCCAACTGAGGCAACTCTTGTGACCGTCATATCTGCTTCAGCAGACATTGTAGCGCTTCCTGCTGGGAAGGAGCTTCATGGGTTTAGTTTGAGGAACGGATTTGAATCAAATGACAAGGTGAAAACTGCACTGGTAGATATGTATGCCAAAAGCGGTTCCGTGAAGGTTGCTAGGACTTTGTTTGAGCGACTTGGGGAGAAGAGGGTTGTCTCGTGGAATGCCATGATCACTGGGTATGCAATGCATGGTTATGCAGCTGAAGCACTGGATTTGTTTGAGAAGATGAAAGGAGGCGGCGCTGTGACTGATCACATAACTTTTGTGGGGGTCCTAGGGGCTTGTAGCCGTGGGGGCTTGCTCGATAAAGGGTTGATGTTTTTTGACTTTATGGTAAGAGAATACCATATTGAACCCACAGTTCAGCATTATACATGCATGGTCGATCTGCTTGGGCATTGTGGGCAGTTGAATAAGGCTTACAATCTTATAAAGGAAATGAAGGTGATGCCAGATTCTGGTGTATGGGGTGCTCTGCTGAATTCATGTAAAATTCACGGACATGTTGAGCTTGCTGAGCTGGCAGTCGAGAAATTGATGGAGCTTGAGCCTGATGAGGCTGGACATTATGTGATCCTATCAAACATCTATGCTCAAGCAGGTATGTGGGAAGGAGTTGCAAGACTGAGAAAGCTAATGATAGACAAGGGAATTAAGAAAAGCATTGCGTGTAGCTGGATTGAAGTGAGAAACAAAGTTCATGCATTCCTTTCAGGAGATACTTCTCATCCTAATTCGGCTGCTATATACGCGGAACTAAAGAGGTTAGGGGGATTAATGGCTGAAGCTGGATATGTCCCTAGTACTGATTCAGTCTTCCACGACGTGGAAGATGATGAGAAGACTAATATGGTTTGTAGTCACAGCGAGAGGCTAGCAATTGCCTTTGGGCTGATAAGTACAGAGCCAGGAACGAGGCTTTTGATAACTAAGAACCTACGGATTTGTGAAGATTGCCACATTGCAATCAAGTTCATCTCGAAAATCACCGAGAGAGAAATCACCATCAGAGATGTCAATCGTTACCATCACTTTAAAGATGGACTATGTTCTTGTGGTGATTATTGGTGAGTGAAAGAAGCATAGTGGAAGCAAAGCAAAGCAAAGCAAAGCGTTGTTTATTGTTCTATCCATAAGAGTGTGGAAACCTCTCTCATGACAAAATATAAAAGACAAATTCTGTAGCTATACAACAACATTATGAGAAAATAGAGAATTAATTCCCTTGAATGCCCGGAATGAGTTGCTTCTTTGTCCTTCAAGGCTGTTCTCTCTCTCAGGCTTCCTTTTTCAAGATTTTTCTTTATTTCTTGCCTATAGATTCTTCACTCAACCGGGATAGGCAGCCTTAAGAGGCACAAGTTCCAATAGCTATCAGTCTAATAGTTGTTATTGAAGAGACTTTTTATCATCACCGGAACATTGTGCTTTTAACATGCGCGTGCTCATTTTTGCCTTCCAAAATTCTGCTGCCTACGTGTTCACATTCGTCCTCCGTTGAAGCTTCAGCTGAACGAAAGAACTTTGTTCATAATGCAGGCAATATAAATATGATTTAAATTGTATCTGAGAAATAAACTAGATATCTATATATATATATATATATATAGGGGGCAAATACTATGTTTACAAGGTTTAATGCGTTTATGCGTCATATTCCCTCAAACCTTATTAAGAATTTGGTATGATAGACTCTTTATGTGGGAGACGTGAGATTTGTTTGGTAATAAGAGCCACTCTAGTTCAGACCAAATGAGAATATCACCTTTCACGTTTCTGCAGGTGATGATCTTCTTAAGGAAATCCTGGAAGTTTATCAAGACAAGCCTCTCCTGCTCCATATAGACGTTTGCGTTATGCTCTAGGTGTCCCAACATGTTTACTTTCTCATCACATAGCGCATCTACTCCAGGAGATAGCAGCATTCCGTTCATTCCATTGACATGTGTGGATTTGAGAAACTCTGCGTTGACACCATTTTGATTCAAATGATCATCAAGAATAAGTTCCTCAACATCTGGCAGGTACGGGAAGTTTTCCTTGTCCTCCAATCGGCAGACAGTCACTCTATGGTTTTCTTTCAATGCTTGCTTATTTGACACTGCCACCAAATTTGAGCAGAAGTGCCTTATGGATTCCGGACTAATGACATCCGCAAACACCGATCTTATGCCAACACCAGCAACAGTAATTAGTCGTTGCAGAGGAACAAAGTTCTGAAACTATGACTCAAAGTATGCAAAAAAGAGAACATTATTTGCAAATTTATGAACCTGTATCTGCGAGGAGCAAAGGACAAGGCAGATGGTGAACCAGAAGTTATAAGAGGATTCACCTGGTAAGCATACAAAGAAAAAATGAAAACATGAATCGAGGAAGGAATTAAAGACAGAAGCAGTGCTTGAAAGTGTACTCACCTAGCAAATAGCAATGAAAGACATTGTTGAGTTAGGACATCAAGAGTACCTGGGTCAAGGTATTCTTCTTATTTGAGCCAAAAGGCAGTATGGCAGCAAATGCTGCAATATTCGCCTCCCTCACACCGGTTTCCGTATAAAGTTGGACCACAGGGGAAAGTGCCAACTTCTCCTCAGACCCTTCGTAATTCTTGCAGTCCAAGCACTTACAACTTTCAGAGCAGAGCATGTTGGCCTGGAAGCACTCACAGTATCTCTTTAAGCAGCAGGTTTTCTTACATTGACATCTCCTTTTGTGCTGTGCTGCTAATGGACTTTCCTTGGTAATAGGTGAGTTGTTAGTCAGCTTAGGCTTGAAAGCATTTGGGTTGCGCTCTAAAATATTTTTTACAGTTGCACGCCTCTCGGACTCATTTTCAATATTGTTGTGACAATCAACACATTTGCACCCATTGCAGTAGATTCCAGAAGCAAAGCATTCACAGTACCTTAAAGCAGATAATCATTTTGCAAGAAATCAAATCTACCAAATTGAGAAAGCGGTAAAAATTTGGTTTTACTTTGAAGGTTGGACACTGCATACAACGCAGAATCCTGCAGAATTCTACAGGGAATTTAAGCACCCAGTATGAACTCGATTGAAAAGCCAATTCCAAGAAAAAGCATTGTTTATACTTCACTGCATCAGCCTTAAATACGAGTTTATATGGACAATTACAGGACGAATTATCAGGCATATCGTGCCATACAAATTGTAAAAAACTTCAAGAGATCAATATAACATGCTAGGTGCAACTTCGCAGATTTTTGGGATGAAAAATGATGGTGTAAATAACTAACAATGAATTTCCAGCCTAGAAAGCGCGATGCATAATGAAACTAGTCCATATGAAAGAAATGTACTCACAACTTTAAGCACTTTGTTTGCTTGCAGCCGCATTGTTTATAATGTTCTAGAGTACAATTATCTCCTTTAGCACATTCCTGTGGTTGTGATGTTGAGGAATCTTTCTCTCTACTTCAAAGCAACAAAACAATCAAAAGAAACGACATTAAAGTGCTAAGCTAAAATTTTCTGAACCACATTTTCGTCTTTCACGTGAGAGAACTAATTTGTGTGTACATTTTATGTAGTTACGTCATCCAGTAATCAGTATCCTAAATCAACCTTATACTAGTTGAACACAAAATTTGATGGTAGAAATATAAATGGACAAGAAGATGAAAACATGTTATTAAATCATTCGTGTGAAAGTAAAGCATTTACCAATATCTGGAAACTCTCAATCCCTATGTTAAGTATAGGGAGAAACACAATGTTGTTTGCCGAAAGCTAAAAACAGGAATCATTTCAAGAAGATCTAGAACAGTTCCCTTTTTTTTTTTTTTTTGAAGGATCCAGAACAGTTGCAGTTACTAGTCATTTCTCTTGAACAACAAAAATCAGGAATCATTCCCTTTTCTTTTATTATTTCCATTTTATTAGTCAAAACAACAACATGAAGTTAGCAATGGAGGAGAAATAAGAAGATTTAACTAGAAAACATGTAACATAAAAAACTGAACAAATCTAATCCAAATATCAGTAAACAATATTATCTACTGGAATTTTCCGTTTGGTCTCCTTTGTTTTTTCTTCGAATGAGCAGAAAATAAAATATGAAAATAGTGCACATTTCGTATAAGAAACCTGAAATTGCAGAGGACTCACTCTGTTGAAAATGGAGTTGACGGCGATAAATGAAGCTCCAAGTTAGGCTCCGCGAGCGACTGAAAGCGATTCGGCAACGAAGAAGCGGTAGCCAAAGAAAAGCCCTGGAACACTGAAAAATCTAGCTTTTTGGCGCGAAACCTTGAAACTCCATAAGTGCCTCTTCTTCGCCTCATTTGATTTTGGCGGGAGAGGTCACTTGCTTCTCTGAATCACCACATATTTTGATCACATAGGTAACATTACAAATACATGAAAAGACGTTAATCTTCTGTGAAATTAGTAACGTGTATATTTTCCAATTCTTTGTTTGGCAGCTGAGAAAACGCATGAAAGGAGAGAGAAGCAGTTTTCCTTGAAATGTGAATTTTAGGGACGTTTGGTTTTCACTTTCCGGGAAACCAAACAGCGTGAAACAAAATTTTGAGTAAAACATCAAATTAAGCACTTTTCAATTTGAAACACGAACGTGGCTTTCACTAGCCGGAAACCAAACAACATCATAATTCGAATTAAACGTTGGAAATTTCCATTTTCTCGTAAAACAAACATAATTCCGAATTCCAAATTCAGTAGAAGAAAATCATGTTTAATCAAAGTGATCACGGAAGTTTGCCTTGAAGACAAATGCCGGTGACTAAGCATTGCTCGTTGATGGACGCCGCCGGCGAGCTCCGACTGTACTGCTTGGAGTCAATGGAGAGAGAGGGAGAGAGAGAGATAAGGAAATTTAGGAAAGAATTTGAAACTGAAATGTGAAGAATCCAAAACTTTTTTATATGTGCTGTACTGCTATGGCAAGGGTAGACCGTTGGATCGCCTTTTTTTTTCCCCTCTTATATGTGCTTGAGGATTTAAATGAGATGTACATAGTTGAAACGAGGAGCTTTCTAACCGTTGGATCTAAAGAAAATGTAACCGTTGGATCATCCCAGCTGGACGGATTAAATTAAATGCAGACAATATTTTTTTTTTCCTTAAGATATATTACAATTTATTACCCAAAAAAGTTCCTGAAAACGACAAAACTTAAAAGCGACGGTAAATATTAAACAACAATAACAACAAAATAACCATTACATAACAAAAAGTAATGGCGTAAAATTAAAAAAGATAAGAAAAATTAATGGCGCAAAATTATATAAAAAAAAAAACGCCCTAAAAGAAGCTCAATAGATATTTTATTATTTTGTAACATAAAAATTATTTGGTTTATTTATTGTTCTGCAAAGTTATTTATTTTTATCAAGTTTCTTACTTAATGAATTTTGTTTTGTTTTAATAAGAGTCTTTTTAACTCTTTATCTCTCTCCCCCACACAAGCTAGAGAAAACAGAGTGGATGGTCGCCGGAGTTTCAGGGCCGCCTCGGGGCGCGTAGTTACGCTACTGATCGTCTATTCGTGAGTTTCTTGTTGGTAATGGTGGTGTAGCGTATAATGGTTCCGTTTAAGTGTATCTAAACCAGTTTAGAACTTACAAACCGAACGAATGAGTTTTGTTTCTAGGCGAATTTGTAGTTTAGTGGCTAAGATCTCTTGGCTGGCTATTTCTCTCGATGGCTCATTAATTGATTGCTCTTTACTAGAGGCTTCTAACAATGGTAGTCAGAGGTTTTTTCATTTTTTCAATGTAATTTTTGTGTTTATAATAAGGGCAGTGGTCTCCCTACCTGACCCTCGTTTGTTTTGCTGTTTGTTGTCAATTTTTGATGATCAACTTAAGGCCATTTGTATGTTTTCTGATAGGATTGTCTTGGTCCGACTAAAATTTTTTCTATGCCGTGTAGTTGTCCCCTCTTTGTGGGTTTGGCGATCTATCCCTCTAGCATTTGAAAGCTTATCTCAATGGGAGAGATTTCTTTAATTTGAGTTTTATGTGTGCTCTTTATTAGTGTGCCTATGTATTCTTCCGTTTTCAGGCTTCAAACGTGTGTACGTCTCTTTAATAGATCATTAACATTATACTGAGATGATTATTTATTAATTTTTAATTAAAAAATATGTAAATATAACAGTTAAAAAAAAAGTCTAACCTACTTGAAACCGGAGGAGAATCTTTCTTAAAAAAAGAGAAGGGAAAAAAAACGGAGATAAAATAATGAACGTTGCATACATCGGTGCAAATAAGCAATATCGGAATTTCGGACAAGATCGGCTAGATCGAACAGGAACTTTCTATTCTAATATTAATTTGTTTTATTTTTTTTTCCTTTTCCTTTTTCTTTTTTGAGAAATTAATTATGAACCTTTAGCTACACAGATACAGATTACAGTAATTTAGTATCAGATTGAACGATCTTCGCGTCTATTTCAGAAGCGCCCAGCCCCCCTCGTGTCCCAGCCATTTCTCTCTCTGATTCCGCCATTAACGAAACCGAAACAAGCACCGATTTCACACAAAATTTGCCATAACTCAACATAGAAAGCTTCATGATTTGACTCTCGAACACCCGAGGCGTTTCCTTCACTTCTTCCCAACTCAATCGGACCCCTAACCAGGTTCTGAATTATTTTTCTATTGAATTTTCGATTTCCTTATTGTAGATTTCAATTCCATATTCTAGTATCAAATTCATCCAATTACGAACTCCGATCTGAACCTTGTTATGTTATCCATACCTAATTATTGTATAGTCTAAGTACGGCTAACTTCTGATTGATCCATTTGTTCTTCATGAATTATCCATTTATTTTCGAAGGTATTGATGTAAAATGTGGAGGTTTTGATGTGTTTTGAAATGGCGGGTTGTAATTTGAATGGAATCTGATTTGATCTTTGTAGCCAGAAGATGGCGTGGTTTAGTGGGAATATTTCGTTGGGGAACATCGCCGATCTCGCCGGAGGGGCGGTGAATAAGCTCCAGGAGAGCGTCAAGAGTATCGAGAAGAATTTCGATAGCGCTCTCGGGTACGATGAGAAAGAGAAGGCCGATTCCTCTGGCAATGAAGGTACTTCAGTTCATACGTTCATACGTAGATGTAATAAATATGTTTGCAAGCTCAGTTAAACATCCTTTGCACCATTGTTTTTCCCATCTTTTCTCAGTTCCTCTAAATATTTGCATCTTGAAAAAGATCAATAATAATCAATTCTGTTTGCGCTCCGAAAATAATCAGTTAAACCTCCTGTTACTTGGCTCTCTGGGATTAACTGTAAACTTGGACATCCTGAATTCTAGTCCCACCAGGGGCTTTTTTACTGGTGACGTGTATGCCTTTCTGGGCTGTCTCATTGGTATTTGAGGGGAAAAGAAAAAGAAAAAGAAAAAGAAAAAGAGATGATCTATTTGGGCACCCATTTTTTTATTGCCTTGCTGAAAGGATGGTTTTGTTACTATGTTGTGCTGGCGGGATTCCGTCCAAACTTCAAAGTTATTGAGTAAAATAATGTTTGTTATAGTTAATATTGTGTTACCTTGTATAGAAGTTGAGATTTTAGGTTTAGACTGATCCGTGGTCTCTTCTTAATGCCTCCAGCTTCAGGATTATGGAGTTCATCCACTGACAGGAAAGCGCTCTTTAATCCTGTTATGGCATTTATGGGACACAGAAGTACAGAAAGTGATGCCGAGTCGTCGCAGAAACCCGAATCTGTCGGATCACCTGAAGTCGAGAAACCATCAGGAGAGCAGGAATCTCCTCAGCATCCATCTATGTCAGAGGAAAAAGAAGGGGTCCATACTGACAAACCACCGATGGCTGCACTGGAAGAGGCTGGTGTGAAAGAAGAAAGGGAAGTTGTGACAGCAGAAACAAGTGACGAACATCAAGAAATGGTAGATGGAATAAATGCTGTTATGTCAGATCCTGAAAAGGTTGAAACTGTATCATCTTTGGTGCCTGCTGAACCACCCGAAGCTGCTGTTCAAAATTTTGAGCTGTCAGATTCCGTTGAAAATCAGGAAAGGGAAGAGATGTTAGGAGTTGAAGCCTTAAGGAAATTAGAATCTGTGCAAGAAAAATCAGGAGCCCCTAAGGTAGATCAAGTTGAGGGTACTGATGTTGTGCCTAAGGAGACAGATAATTTCACCAATGTGCATGAGAACATGCATGAACAGAAGGACGAAGTGGAGAGCACTGATGAACAGAAGACACAAGTGGAGAGCACTGAAGAACAGAAGACACAAGTGGAGAGCACTGATGAACAGAAGACACAAGTGGAGAGCCCTGATGAACAAAAAGCACAAGTAGAGAGCTCCGAAGAGCAGAAGACACATGTAGAGAGCACTGATGAACAGAAGGCACAAGCTGAGAGTGTAGAGATATCTCCAGTTCAAACTGGGGGGTTGACAGATACTAAAACTGGAAGTGGAGGTACAGCAGAGCCCTCTGGTTTAACTGAGAATGGCAGCGCTGGACAAACTTTTAATGATGAATTGCCAAGTGCAGTTCCTTCAGATGAGGCTTCAGAGACGGTTCCTGAGCAGGTTTCAACTAAGAACAATATAGTGGTTGGAGTGGATCAGCATGTTGATGATAAACAAAGTTATGTTAGTGAGCAACATTTGAGATCAAGAATAAGTGCTTCTGGCGCTTCAGATTCTGCAGTTGAACTGGAAAGAGTTAAAAAGGAGATGAAAATGTTGGAAAATGCTTTGCAAGGTGCTGCAAGACAAGCTCAGGTGTGTGATGTGATTATTTGGATCATCTTATTTTCTGTGCATCATTTGGATATGTTCTAGGTAACATTCTTTTAAAATTTAAATGCATTTCTACAGTTATGAACTGCCTATCCATTTGATTTTTCCCAGGCAAAGGCTGATGAGATTGCCAAGTTAATGAATGAAAATGAGCAATTAAAATTGGTGATCGAGGATTTGAAGGTGCGTATACTTTTTCTATTATTAAGTTATTATATGTACTTAGATAAGACACACACACACAAGCACCAATTTATTGTTATCTCATCTATTCACTCACCTATTTTCGTAGGAATGCCCTTCCAGTAGTTACTGTTCCGATGCATTCTCTCTGTTTTTTTTTTTTTTTTTATCTTTTCCCTCCCTACATTCATTCACATAAGTTGGAGAGGCCTTATTTTTCAAGTGTTTGTATTTTAACTGCTGAAATTTTTGCATCTATCAGAGAAAAACAAGTGATGTAGAAATTGAGACTTTGAGGGAGGAATACCATCAGAGGGTTGCAACTCTCGAAAGGAAGGTATATCTGTTCATTTAGTCTTGTTCATATGGTCTTGTTTGTATTTTAGCTTGAGTTGTGGTTCATATTTTAATACTCGTCATATTCTTTCACATAAAAGGTGTAGTGAATAGTGAATAATAAATATTCAACACAATCAATCTTACTCTGGGCTTACTTAGATTGTTAACTACGATGCCATCTAGATTGCATGGAAGTATATGGTTAATGGACTTTTAGAAACAATGAGTTACGGTCTCGCATCAGTATTTTTGCTTGTTGCACTATCAAGATATGATGCATATGGATGCAACATACAAGTTCATGTTAGGACTAAATTATATATTGTACAAGGAACGTTGATGTTTATTCCCATCTTAAAGTGAATGATTTTCCTTTGTACTTGCATAGTACAATCACCAATGATTGATGAAGTCCCTGTTTGAGTTCTATTTAAGGACCCTTGGCTTTAATTATTGTTTAAAAAGAAAGCAATATCAGTGTTGAAATGTGCAATTGAAGGTGAATATACGTTGAAGTATAGTACTGGTTGCTAGTGCAGCATTAGATTATGATTGCCATCTCGTTATGTGTAACATAGACATATAGACCCACACGTGTTAAATCTTCATTTTTGTTTGATAACTTTTAATGTACGTGAATCAGGTTTATGCTCTTACTAAGGAAAGGGATACTCTTCGGAGGGAACAGAGTAAAAAAAGTGATGCAGCTGCTCTTTTGAAGGAAAAAGATGAAATTATCAACCAGGTTATGGCTGAAGGTAAAGATTTTTGAAAACTGTCATAGTTGCATGCAATAGACAACCCCTGCCCAATACTTTGCGTTTTATTCCTTGACACATGAAGTGCATTAACCTTAACGTGATTATGTGTTTTGTTTTCTGATATTAAAACTCTTGGATGTCTCCTTGGTCAATAGGACCTGCTGTTATAAGAAGAGTCGGGGAGGATGAATTGTGATTTCAGCAGATTATTATTGAAAGAGTTTCCAACTAGGTTCAATGCTCCAGCTAATTTGACGCATAAAATGAATTCTAAAGATGCTTTTTCCATCTTCTCAAACATGCCTTGTTGTTTATTTCCGAAACAAAGAGCATGTCTTCTCTTATTGTACGATAGAGGTTTGTTTTTTTGGTTTTAATATAGTCTGTCTAAAGGAGCAACGAGGCCTTCCTTTCATGGATGGTTCATATTTGAAGATGTTTTTTTATTGTACAGGCGAAGAGCTTTCAAAAAAGCAGGCTGCTCAAGAGGGTCAGATTAGAAAATTAAGGGCTCAGGTATCGGATCATGCTGATATGTCATCCAACTTTTCCTTCTTTACCTTTTATTTTTTTTATTTTTATATATATGTTATGTTATTCATTGTTCTTTTCTTTTTGTCTTGTGAAAGCTAGATTAGGGAGCTTGAGGAAGAGAAGAAGGGGTTGGTTACTAAGCTTCAGGTAATTGATTACTCTAGAGTGTACGAAAATTGTTATTAAGGCTTTCATTCTTCTGAACACTAAAAAACAACCATCTCGTTCAGTCGAATAAAACTTAAATAATTGGCGTGGACTTCCCTTAACTTAATAAGTCGGAGTAGTCTTTCTGGAAATTTAGTTGGATTTAAGCCTTTGTTTTCAACATTGGCTGGCTGGTTCATGCTTAATTTTTAAATTTGACTTAGTCTTCATATTAGATATGGGGTTCAGTTCTCAAAGTTTGAAGATCTTTAAATGTCTTTGGTGTATTCAGCCTACTGTTTGATCCCTTGCTTAGATTGTTTCTTGCGTATTGTTGCCAATTATTTTAGGATATTCGTTTTTGAAAAAGAAAGTTTAAAAGAATTTGGAAGCACGTGGAATTCTTTACGTAGTTTAAACACTCTTCTAATTTTAGTTTGCTGGTATTTAAAAGTTTGCTGGTATTGCTGCTTGGACTCGTTCAGAATGAATAATGGGTATACATGACAAATATCACCAGGTAGAAGAGAATAAAGTAGAGAGTATAAAGCGGGACAAGACAGCTACAGAGAAGTTGTTGCAGGAGACAATAGAAAGACACCAATCAGAACTTGCATTGCAAAAAGAATTTTATACCAATGCTTTGAATGCTGCCAAGGAGGCTGAAGCTTTGGCAGAGGCACGTGCGAACAACGAAGCAAGATCAGAACTAGAGAGTCGTCTAAGGGAGGCTGAGGAACGTGAATCTATGCTAGTTCAGGCACTTGAAGATTTGAGGCAAACTCTAAGCAGAAAGGAGCAGCAGGTTTTTGTTCTGTTGGTTGTTTTTTTGTTTGGTTCCAATAAATGGCTTAAAATTGTTGTTTTATTTGTGTTCTTTATTCTTTGCTAGGCTGTATTTAGAGAAGACATGCTTCGCCGGGACATTGAAGACCTTCAGAAACGTTATCAAGTGTGTTAAGCTCCCTCGGCTGAAGTTAAAGCTTTGCTTTCTTTTTTTTTCTCTCACCTGACTTCCGATTTAATTTGGCTTGTAGGCAAGTGAACGGCGCTGTGAGGAGTTGATCACACAAGTTCCTGAATCTACGAGGCCTCTTCTGAGGCAGATTGAAGCTATGCAGGTATGCATATTTCAGATGCATTTTTGGTATGTCACGAAGAGAAATGGTGGCCTTTCCATTTACTCGGGTCAACTAATTAGGTTCTTTTTGACATGTCCCTTTATTTGTAACAGGAAACAACTGCTAGAAGAGCAGAAGCTTGGGCGGCTGTAGAAAGATCCCTAAATTCTCGGTTCCAGGTCTGCATATTATTCATGCAATATATGGTTCAACTGAAACTTATACATCTTTTAAAAAGAAAATGGGAATATTTATTCTTGTTGAACGTATAGGAGGCAGAGGCCAAAGCTGCAGCTGCTGAGGAAAGAGAGCGATCTGTGAATGAACGCTTATCTCAGACCTTATCTCGAATTAATGTTCTTGAGGCTCAGGTTCTCCTCTTTATGGGTTATATTCTGTTGCATAATATACTTGGGGATTCAATTAGTATGATATTAACTTATGCTAGATATATATTTCAGATTTCTTGCCTTAGAGCTGAGCAGACACAGTTAAGCAAGTCTCTTGAAAAAGAGAGAAAAAGGGCAGCTGAAAATAGGCAGGAGTACCATGTAGCAAAGGAAGAAGCTGACACGCAGGAAGGTCGTGCTAACCAGCTTGAAGAAGAAATAAGGGAACTCAAGCGTAAACATAAGCAAGAGTTACATGAAGCTCTAACGCATAGGGAACTGCTACAACAGGTATTCTCGTTATTTAGTAAAGGCTTTTTTATCAGCTTTTTTTGTCTTTTTTTTCTTTTCTTTTCTTGTAAGTTTTTTTCTATCTTTAGTTAGAACTATTGAAGTTTAGTATGTTGCATCTTTGGTTGTTTGACTGCCTAGTTTACATTATAATTAAGTTATTAGTTCCCATTGTTTTTGTTTGGGTTTCTCTCAAAATTTGATCATACATAGAGCATTTGTAGTGTTTAGAACGAATTAATTTGATACTTGTCACATTCATCCATATAATAAGCATTGACGAAGTGGGTGGATAGACACAAATGAGATTTTTCTATGCCTCCAATCCAAACGATGGAGAATGCAACAAGGATGCATCCCACTAAGCTTATTGGGAGCCTTTTTTTTCCTTTTGATGATTTTCTTTGTAGACCATCCCCACCTTTTTTTTTTTTTTTTTTTTTTTTTTTTTTGGGTTTAATGCTATTCAGTTTTCCTGAATTAAACCTTTGAATTGAATTTGAATTGCCAGGAGATAGAAAAGGAGAAAGCTGCTCGTTTGGATTTGGAAAGGACAGCTCGCGTCCATTCTGTTGTCCATTCTGTTGTACCTGATCAAACTCCCATTAGGCAGAATTCTGTGTTTGAGAATGGTATGACACTTAAATTCTATTATATCATTCCATTTTTCTTCCCATGTGATATTGATTTTCTCACCTTTTTCCAGGAAACTTGAGCCGAAGACCTTCAAGTGCTAGCAGCCTTGGGAGCATGGAGGAAAGCTATTATCTGCAAGCTTCTCTGGACTCATCTGATGGTTTATCGGAGAGGAAGAATGCTGGAGAGGTAACCTTGAACCCCTATTATATGAAGAGTATGACACCAGGTGCTTTTGAATCTGCTCTTCGTCAAAAGGAGGGTGAACTTGCATCATACATGTCCCGTTTGGTAAGTTCCCCCACTTTTCCCAGGTTCTCCTATGCAACAACTTTGGCACCACATATTTTCATATTGAGTGCTGTCGCATAACCCATATGTGAGCTATGTGGAGAGCTTCGTTTATTTGCTTTAGCAATTTTTTTATTAGTACCATTACAAAGTTTGTGAGTTCTATTAATCTTTATCAAGTTTAAATCTTTTTGTATTTTTAATAATTTACTCTTATAATTTCCTCAAGGCATCAATGGAATCTATCCGCGATTCTCTTGCTGAGGAGTTGGTCAAAATGACCGAGCAGGTGCGTATCTATTTGTTACCTGTCCTTTGACCTATGCTGTCTGTTGAATTTTTTCCCCTTCCTGTTAATTTCACTTGGGTCCATGCTTTCGCAACTGAACTTGAGAATTCCGTACATTGTTCCAGTGTGAAAAGTTAAGGGCAGAGGCTTCCACATTACCTGGTATTCGGGCCGAGTTGGAATCACTGAGGAGGAGACACTCTGCAGCGCTGGAGCTAATGGGTGAACGTGATGAAGAGGTATAACTAGCTTCCTACTTAAGTTCCTTTTGCTTTATTATAAAACTAATGCGGGCGTTGAAGTTTGAATGTCGTGAGATGGTGTCTATCTTGATTTATGTGAAGGCGTTCTGTTTCTAAGATGGTTTTCCATATTAGATTAGATTGTAAGGTCTTCTCACCTTTCATGTTTCCTTGAAATCAACTCTAAAGCTTCAAAAGAAGCCTCTTTCCTGCATTGACAAGCATCACAGGCTTGAACTTAAGGAAGTAGTTCGTGCCTTACCTAAAATAGCGCTACATTAGTTGCTTGATAATTCAGAATTTGAGTAATACCTGCAATGCTCGTGGATAGCTATTACTAACACATGTGACATTCCTTTGGTTTTCTTTATGTGGTGTAGCTCGAGGAACTCCGTGCTGATATTATAGACTTGAAGGAGATGTACAGAGAGCAAATAAACTTGCTTGTGAATAAGGTATTTCGCTCAGCAAGATTTAGCAATTTCTGTTTCTTAGTTCTCATCCTTTTTTTCCACCTTGTACATACCGAATACTTACACTTTCCTATACTTACAGATCCAAATTTTGAGTTCATCAATTGGAAATTCATAGCAAATGAACGTCTAAGGTATGAAGCCATTTGCCAATTCTCGTCTTTCATGGTATAGATGATGGATTTACTCAGGAGAACGCAATTGGCTGCTAAAATGTTTTCCCTCCATACCCGTTTTTTGAAGTATGTTTTGAGCTGTAGTGTTTAGGCAACCATAGACAAGGGTATTTCTTTTTTTTTTTGTTCCTTTTTTAAAAAAAAACACCTTGATATGCATGTAACTATTGACTTGCTGTATAGCACGAATGTTGTTGTGTCAAGTATCAAACTTGAAAAATTTTCAAGTTTTCCTTATTGATATATTTCTAATAAATAAAGTGCATTCATTTCTTTTTTCCCTGGAAAACATATTGTAGTTCACGTTCTCTTGTGCCTCAGTTCCATTACTAGTTTGTCAAATGGGAGTTTCGCGCGTCTCCTTTATTTTTCCCATTTTGTGCCCTTGTTTTCAATCCAAATCCTTTGATCACATAACTACTATATCGTTACTATCTACACTGGACTTGGAATCTACAGGGTCCCGCAATTTAGATTCCGAACGAGCTAGCTAGAGAAGATTGGCGACGTCTGTAATGGTCCAAAATGAAAAGAATTTCAAGGCATGAGCTTTAAAAATCAGAACCAATACCGATGTGAATGTGTCGTACTATTGTCCAGGAGATCATGCCTGATTCATCCGGAGCTCCAGTTTCAAATTAGCGTTCATATGGAGAATAGTCGTCATGCATGCTTAATTTTGTCATTTGCCAAAACGCCTTTTATTCCATAATTCGCAGTTAACGAATGGATGCTGAATATCCATTTTAGTGAAAGTTATGTTATCATGTCACGTTAAAGCTTTCACAATGCGTATGGGGCTCTCTCAATGTCTCTTTCCGAGTTGGAACCGCTGGTTTCTGCACTAACACGTGAAACTTTCTTTGAGGTTTCGTCCTTGTGAGTTACAATCTCTCGAATGGACAGGCACTACGTAGTGTTCATGAATTTTGCCAAAATTTTCATGTGATTATGCATCGCTTTATGGCCCTTTGGTCCATACTTCTCTCGCGTTTAATTTTATCACTAGATGATATCTTCCTAATCAAACTCGTGTTTCTTACAACTACATGTATGTTGAGTTCGACATTTATAGTATTTTTTTCTTTTTGCCTTGCTATTTCAAGAGGACTAATGCCATGACTTTTGCAGGCTGACCTAGCGACAACCGAAATTACAACAATAATAAAATAAAAAATAAAAAATAAAATCTAATGAATATTTTCCCCCTCCCCCTTTGCTTCCATTTTGTGTGGCTTAAGTTGCAAGTAACCAAGGATTTGTTACGATTTAGTAGAGCACAAATAAAGGGTGCATCAGATCAGTCAATACAGTTCTACTTTGACGTTATCTTTTTAATTATTTTTGCTAAAAAACGTTATCTTCTTCTTATTGCTTGTTGTTCACCTTTCCTAACCCAAAAAAAAAAAAAAAAAAGAAAGCCATAAATTTGGAGAAAATAAAAGAACCAATCAACAATTCCCCCATTATGATAATTCTTTAATCTCATCCTTAACACAACGATTTAAAAATTTCCTACCCAAACAAAATGAAGAAGAAGAAGACGGGACAAAACAATCAGCTCAATGCAATTGACCCAAAAACTGATAAATGAATGAAAAAATATATCTTAAAAAAAAGCCACAAAAGGCCAAAAAGCTGTGAAAGATCGTGTCAGCATACGATTGGACAAAAAGAATCATTCGCAGATTGCAAAACACCTGATCCAGTTACCTGCTAACAATCGGGAACATTTACTCTCAATTATTTCACTAATTTAATTTTAAATTTTAAATTTTATTATAATAAAAAAATTTTAAAAATAATCATATTTAATTTTTTTTACTATAATAAAAAATTTACATCTTAATTTAAATTAAAAATTCAAATTAATATAAACTATAGTCATATGAGAGCAGATCTAGTACTCTCTTTTGAAAAAAAAAAAAGATTGGACAAAAAGCTGTGAAAGATCGTGTCAGCATACGATTGGACAAAAGGAATCATTCTCCAACTACAAAACACCTGATCCAGTTACCCGCCAACAATCAGGAACAGGTGTCGTTGTGGTCCTCTGAGAGCAAATCTAGTACTCTGAGAGCAGGTATCACCGTCTTAGATCCGTGTTTGCTTTACACCCCCAGTTTTCTCAGCTAACAAACGCCATGCGATAGTCATTATATTGTCATCATCATCACTCTTCATATGTAAGACTGATTACTCTCATAACAATAATAATAAGAAAAGTATAAAAAAAATCAATAAAATAAATAAAAGGGATGATCTCTCAGATTTCCTTGTCTTCGCTCCAAAAGTTGGCAGACACCCACAAATTATAAGTCATTAATGATTAAACCACTGATACTGACTCCTCCAGCGCATTTTAGCACTCACCTGTTCTTCTCCTTCTTCTTCTTCTTCTTCTTCAATCCTCTTTCGCTCTCGCATTAAATTCAATCAGATCGTTTTCCACCTCTACATTTCACCAAGGTACTCATCCCTCCCTCCCTCCCTCTCTCTCTCTCTCTCTCTCTCTCTCTCTCTCTCGTACGAAAGGAATATAAACAGTTCTTAGTTTGTTATCTCTCTGTTGAGAAGAAAGATATGGTGAGTTTTTAGTATTTCTGATCTTCAGAGCGAAAATGTTTTGATTTTCTTATATTCTTGTTTGCTGTGCCTCTTCATCAAACACATCTACATTGCATCTAACATATAATGAGAGTACTTAAAAGTTTTTTTTTTTTTTTTTTTGGTTGTTGCAGGCAGAATACGGTGTAGCGGAGTTTGCAGGTTTGCATAGTTCTGAAATGCGGGGGCGTCAGCGTGGGACGTCGAAGGACCACACCAGTGCTCACGACAAAGAAACTTCTGGTTCTCTCTCTTTATTTCTTCCTTATTTGATCATGGATTTATTAATTTTTTTTAATTATTTTTTGGAGGCTGGGGCTAGATATTTCTTAAAAATAGCCTTTTATCAGCTGGATTTTTCACGTTTTTGGTCTCAACATTGTGACTTATTTTAGAAAGGCCATCCTTTAGGATGCTATAACGCTTTGTAAAAATTTCATCCTTACATTGTAAGACACATTTTGTTAAAATTTATCTTCTTGTGTGAGAACAAGACATGTTGAAAGCTTTTTTTTCCTTTTTATTAAAAAAAAAAAAGGAATTATAACTGACATTCATGGTGCTTTTTTATATGGACTTTTTTGTTAGTACGTTTACTCAGCGGCAAAGATGTTGGGAACCCTTCATGGAAACGCTCTTTACCTCATATGCTTGTCGCGATTCTTTCTTCGTTCTTGTTTGGTTACCATCTCGGGTATCTATCAAATCCTTGTTTGCTTTTTGTGAAAATTTTGTTGCAAGAATTGTAATTTTTATTATGTGTTCTGTTATTTTGCCGATGCAGAGTGGTTAATGAGACACTAGAAAGTATTTCCGTGGACCTCGACTTTAGTGGGAGTACCTTAGCCGAAGGTATTTCATTTTATTGGCGTTCTAAATGGATTTGGGTTTTTCTGTACTGAATGCACTCAAAAAGATTTCTATCTTTTGTTGTATTGATTGTAGGTCTAGTGGTGAGTACATGTTTAGGAGGTGCATTTGTTGGATCTATATTTAGCGGCTCGATTGCAGATGGAGTTGGGCGTCGGAGGGCGTTTCAGCTCTGTGCGCTGCCAATGATAATTGGTGCATCACTAAGGTCTGCAATATATGCGTGCAATACTTATTGTTTTTTATTTTTTTTAATTGCTTAACCAAATAGATGCTCCTACAATATGTGTTTTCCCAAAGGGAAAATCTTCCCTTTCTTTCTGTTTCTGAATCTACCTGCCTTCGGTGGGAATTGTGTCAGTCTAGCCACTCTAGCATTTCTTCTAATGAAACTCACTTAACAAAAGCAAAAGGAGATTACCAAAGAAACTTGTCAGCCTCATTTTCACTGGATTTTCTTTATTTGTGCGTGTTCATCATGTTGTCTGTAAGTTTGCATTTTACTCTCTCATTTATTGACTGCTATGACTGGGATTAGCAGAAATTGGGGAAGAGCAAATGCTAGAAATGAATCACGTCACAACCAACCACTGATATACATAACACTTCCTAGAGATGATACTCCATATATCGTACTTAGGTTCTTTCGAACGAATGGAATGATTTTTCTTTTAAATTTCTGACAACTTGCATGTAGCATGTTCGTGGTGTAGTTAATGATAGCTTGCGCAAGGCTTACCAGAGAATTCAAATAATCTTGCAGTGCAACGACTAAAGGTCTGTGGGGTATGCTTCTAGGGAGGTTTTTAGTTGGAATTGGAATGGGCATTGGCCCAGCTGTTGCAGCTCTCTATGTAGCAGAGGTGCGAGATATGTTCTTTTTACTAACAATTGAAATCTGCAAGATTGTATACTCCTGTTTGTAATAGCCTTTGTTTTAAGTTACTTCTATGTCTAATGCTTCATCCACATGAACAGATTTCTCCGGCCTTTATAAGAGGCACATTTGGTAGTGCCACACAAATTGCTGCATGTCTTGGAATTATGGCGGCTCTCTTTATTGGACTCCCAGCTAAGGAAATAGTGGGTTGGTAAGACGTTTAAATTAACCTTTGAAATAATTGGTCTTTTCTGTTGTTAAGGTGACAACTTCATTTATGCCTGTGACAAACTTTGTACAAAGACGTTCTATGAATCTGAGTTTGTCCTCAGGTGGCGGGTTTGTTTTTGGGTATCTGCTGTTCCTGCTGCAGTACTTGCTTTTCTCATGGAGTTCTGTGCAGAGAGCCCCCATTGGCTTTTCAAGGTTAAATACTATCATGTGTTAGTCATCAGTCTCATTAACAGTAATTTTCTTCATAACACACCTACTTAACATATCAAACAAAATCACGAGACTCATATTTGATTTGTTTTCATTCCGCTGTACTTATGGTTTTTTATCATTTGGTTCAGAAAGGAAGAGGCCCTGAAGCTGAAGCTGAATTCGAAAAGCTTTTAGGAGGAATACATGTCAAATCTGCAATGGCGGAACTGTCCAAGTTCGATAGAGGGGATGAATCGGATACAGTTAAGTTGTCAGACCTACTCCATGGCCGGCATTTTAAAGGTATAAATTCTTTGTTATAAAGCCTAAGACCCTTTGATCTAATGGCACGGGGAGGGGGGTTGGGGAGAGCTTTCGGTGGGGTCGTGTGGGATCGTAACACATAATCTTTTTTTCTTCTTTTCGATAGGACACATGCTATATAACATATGCTTAGTTTATGTCATCTGTATGTTTCCCTCTACGTGATTGCCTCATCATTTCAATATTTTGCAGCGGTTTTCATGGGCTCTACCCTTTTTGCTTTTCAACAGCTATCTGGCATAAATGCTGTTTTCTATTTCTCTTCTACCGTCTTTAAAAGCTTTGGGGTACCGTCAGATGTTGCAAACATATGCGTGGGAATCTCAAATTTGTTTGGTACAGATTCCTCTTACTTTGCATCTTTGACAGATATGCATATAATGCATGTATGTACATGGATTTAGTTTACTCCTTATGCAACTTCAGGATCGGTAATTGCGATGACATTGATGGATAAACTTGGAAGAAAAGTGCTTCTGCTCGGAAGTTTTTCTGGCATGGTAACCTCTAAAAGAAGAAAAAAAAAATACTGTTTGAATAATGGACGTCAACCAACAAATGACATGTTCTCTGACCGCATTTCTTCTTTAGGTAGTGTCATTGGTCCTCCAAATAATTGCAGCAAGCTCTTTCGCATCGGGATCTAGGGCATTGTACCTATCAGTTGGTGGCATGCTTCTGTAAGTGGCGAATCTTCTACAACTTTAACTATATAGGAGAGTAGGAGACAAAGAATGAACATGAAGGAAAACTTAGCATCAAGACAAAGTTGCTAGATCACGTCATCTGAAAAGTTTTATCTTTACACGATTTGAATCCATTTAGATTAAGATAAGCTCAGAAGCTTTTGTTATATTACTCTTATTTGGCTAAACGCGAAACAAATGCAGATTTGTCTTAATGTTTGCTCTCGGTGCTGGTCCAGTCCCCAGTCTCCTTCTTTCTGAAATATTTCCTGGTCGGATTAGGGCCAAGGGAATGGCAGTTTGCATGGCTGTTCATTGGGTAACTTTCAAATCTGGTCTTTCTTGCTATGAATTCTGGCTTCTAGTTTTGTTCCATAAAGTGCCTATTTTCTGATCGAGTTGTTAAGATTGTTTGTGTCTCGCTGATAAAGATTGGTGCCTTTAACAGGTGATAAATTTCTTCGTCGGTCTATTGTTTTTGCGCTTGCTCGAGCAAATTGGGGCGCAATATTTGTATTCGCTCTTCGCCGCCTTTTGTTTCACCGCAGTGATCTTTGTGAAGAGAAATGTGGTGGAAACGAAAGGAAAAACACTCCAAGAAATTGAGATTGCACTTGTTCCACCAGCGTAAAGGTATTAATCATTTTTGTAATGACTCTAGATAAATTTCTTATGTTATCCTTATTTTTGATGCTGCTTTTTTCCGCATCTAATCTTTCTACCGTACATTATTGTGCATTTTTATTTTTACTTGCAGGCAAGATAATAACATTCACTTTTATCTGCATATTCTTAAAACTACAGACTCTATAGTTATCAACTGGGCTAAGACGATTCCATCATGTGCTCACATTCGAAGGCCAATGTATATTGTTGGAGTGTTTTTTTTTTTTTTTTTTTTTTTTGGTTCGAGTATTTTTGTGAGCGCATTGATGTTATTTTGTATTGGAATTTATGGATGTAACTACTAAATGATAGACCAAAAGCTAAAAAATTGTATGTCACTTTAATAAACAAACTCAGAAAATATCATGTAACCCCTGCTGGAAGCTATCTGATCCGTCCATCTCCTTACTGACGGGTGGGAGCTAATTGGTATAGCTTTGTTAACTAAATCTATTCATCTGAAATTCTAACGAATGAAAACAAAATTATGTTTTATCCCATGAGTGGGTTAATAATAACCAATAATGTTGAGAGAATCTCTTCTTGTGATTTTAACATGTGTAGTAATTTAATGGAAATCAAATGATAAATCAAGTCCTGAAAATTTATTTCAAAAAAAAAATCAAGTCCTGAAAATCAATATTCTCTCTCTCTTGCTTTATGAATGAAAACAATTTTTTTTTTTTTTTTTGCGTGGAAAATTTTGAGAAATAATTAACCGACTGATATACACCATTTTTTTTTTAATTTTAAGCTTTTTTTTAATGTAATTTCAAGCTTCTAAGTGATTGGTACGTAATTATTTTCGTCAATTGTGAATTTCTAATGAATATTTTTTTTTTTAAAAAAATTTGAGCTTTTACGTTATTGATATGTAATTTTAATATGGAAGGGACCAAAATATTTTAAAATGTTAAATTTGGAGGATGGTAAGCTATTCTTTAAGGAAACTTTTACGTCTATATCTATAGATATATAAAAAGAATGCATAAGCAAGAAGCTGGCGGTTGACCAGTTTGCTTGTGTATCGGGCATTTTTTTTTCTCCTTTTTTTTATTAAGCCTGGACGTACTTTTGTTAACCTAACAGTATCTGTAAGTGCAATTTGTCTTTCTTGTTATCAGTGTTTCTCTTTCTTCTTCAAACCTTCGCTTTTCTTTTTAATTTCTGTGTATTATTTTAATAGTTTGTCTTTTTGTTATCAACATAATTACGTTTTTTTTTTTCTTAAAATATATTTTTTTCTTTCCTTTTCCTGTGCTATGTTTGATTACCTTTCATTTTGTGCTTCTTTATTTTTAGGTGAGTATTATTAGTGGATGTTGGATAACTACTTTTAGGAGTATGAATTGGTAATGTATTTCTTTAGAAGAAGGAAACATAATGAATGAGAGAGAAAATAAATTACAGAGAATAATTAAATAGTTATGTAAATTAATTACTTAAAAGTGTACAATAAAAAAAAGAAAAAAAAAACAATGAACAATTGTATATGCTTTTCTTCTTATAATAAATTACTATAAAAAATCTCTATTATAAGAAGCGTGGATGGACATGAAGATTTCGTACTTCAACTCCTGCTTGCTTATTTTCAGTTTTTTTAAAGCTTTTTTTTAAAAAAAAAAAATTTACTTTGCTTGCTTGCTTTAAACCTTTTTTTTAAATTGTATTTTTCAACTTTTTTTCCTTTCCATTGTCTTTAATTGTTTTTTAAATGCTGTTCTTTTTTTCTTCTTCTTCTTCTTTTTTCAATCTTTTATATTTCATTGTTTCCCATTAAAATATTTTTTCATTAATTTTCTCTTTAAACACCTTCTTATTTTTTCTTACTTTCATTACTTTTATCTCTAAACACCTTCTTATTTTTTCTTACTTTCATAAATATTTTCACTTGTTTTGCTTGCTTGCTTTCAAGCTGCTTCCTTTTTTTTTTTTTTTTTTTACTTTATTTGCTTGCTTTCAAGTTTTTTTTTTAAATTGTAATTTTCAGCTTTTATCCTTTCTGTTTTCTTTAATTATATTTTAAATGTTGTTCTTTTTCTTCTTCTTTTTTAAATATTGTATTTTTCATTGTTTCCCATTAAAATAATATTTTCATTTATTCTCTCTTTAAACACCTCATTTTTTTTCACTTGTGAATATTCTCCATTACTATATATGTATACTTATAGTAGAGAAGATGTATATATTTTTTCAACTATCATTATACATAATATAAAATTGTTGATTTTCATGGAACCATAATTTTATTTAGGTTAAAATTTAAAACTCCTAATATTTTAAACCGTTATTGGAAAAATATGTATGATTATCATTTTTTAGTTTGTAAATAATTATAAATTGGCTATATTTAATTTATGTTTATCATTATTAAAACATTGTTTGCGCCCCATAAAAAGACATGGTTAGCATTGACTTAAAAAAGAATAAGTCAAATTATTAAGATATTTATTTATTTCTTTGTAAAGATATAATGAAAAAAAATGTGTTTGTATTGAAACATTACTCATCATATTTAATAATTTTAAATAAATTTGAAAAAAAAAATATGCACATTGTAAATTGAAAAAAAAATGTTAATTAATAACGAGACGTGCCTAAGCTAGTTAGTTAATAATAGTTCTATTCCGTATGACTAAGATATTAAATATAGATCTATAAGTATCATTATTAAGATAATGCAAATTAATAAACTAAATTTGTAATTACAAGCGAAAAAATATTCTTAATTAATTTTAGTAAAACATGCTACTTATACTGAATTTTTAGTAAAAATATGACAACTTTTATTTACATTTCTTATATCTTTTCATGATAAGAAAATATTTTCTATGTTAAAAGGTATAAACTCATTAAATATTTCAAATTTAGATATATATATATATATATATATATATTTTTCCAAACATGTAACTTTATCATCAAAACTTCTTGTGTTCTATCGCAAGAATGTTCCACTATTATATTCTTTTGAGAATTATGTGCTTCAAATATTTTAATTTTAAAGTGAATAATGTAATTGAAATGTTAATAAATAAATAACGAGTTTTGACATTTTATTTTTCTTAAAAAAATCATAAAATCCCATGTTAAAAAAACAACATAAAATAAATCAACTGTAAGAATTTTTTTTTTCTAAGAAGTTATACAACGGCCTAACTGTTATTTTACATCTATAAAATTCCACCTTTTATTCCTCTTAACATTTTCAAAATTGATATTCACATAATCATTTTCTGAAATAGTATTGTTACTAATCAACACGTGCCAAAGGCACGTGTCACACTCACTAGTTTCATAAAAATTGAGGACTTCTTTATATAATAATAATAATAATAATAATAATAATTTCCTAGCAAATAATAATAATAAATTACAAAAAATTATATTTAAATTATACCTTTTGTAACACTTTACTCTTGATCTTTAAAACATAACATATATTTCCCTTGACCAATGAAATGTTAACAAAAAAGACCTAATTCGTTAGGTTTTTAACTGAAATTTACATTTAATTTGCTATTTTAAAGGTATTTTAATTATTTTATGGTTTAAAATTTAATTTGAACATAAACTAATTTAAATATTAAAAAAACTTCATAAATTTTTTTATTCTACCAAATAAAGTTCATAGAATTTTTAACTTACATTCTATCAATAATGTATGTATCATAATTAAAAGTTTAAATTTAAATTATTTCTAAATTCAAACTAAATTTTAAACCATTAAGCTATCAAAATACCCCAAAAATAACAAATTGCATGTCAATTTCTCCTAAAAAACCTAACATAATGGGATTTTTTTGCTAACATTCCATTGTTCAATGAGAACATATATTACGTTTTAAAGATTGAGAGTAAAGTGTTACGAGAGGTATAATTCAGGAGAAGTTTTTGTAATTAATCTTAATTATTATAGGGCATGTCTATGGTAGGGGCGTTTTTTCCCTGTCGGTAGGGTATAATTTAAGACAATTATATTTGAATATGACGGTAGAAAAGGATGAAGCACTACCAAAATAAACTGAAAACTCCTACATATGATAATTACAACATTCCTTTTTTAAAAAAAAAATGATTATTTTAATAAATATCCTCCTCAAAATGTCCCTTAATTTTTTAAAACAGGTCAAAACACCTCTTGATGTATATAAAAGTATTCAAAACACCCCTTCATCCATATTTGTGTGTCATTTGGATAGAAAATGCATAATGACAGTTGAAATGAGTATTTAAAAATTAATTAAAGATATTTAACTAATAAAAATTAATAATAATGAATATTAAAAATAATAAAGAAACAAAACTTATATATTAAAATCAATAAAAAATAATAAAAAACCCCCAAAAAAGTTATTCTTTCTTTTTGCTTTACTTGAGTTGCAGAGAAAAAAACCCAAACCCTAGAGCTGCTTGTACCCATGCCTTTGGTGAGAGAGGACGTTCTTGGTTTGCGAGGTTGGTTTCGATGACTAAAGCTGCTTCTGGAGCAGAGGTTACCTCCGTAAGGGGTGGAGGTGGTTTGCGAATACGGTCAGTGGCCGAGAGAAGGCGTACCAAATCGACGACTTAGGGCAAAGGAGTTCCGACGCTTCGGGAGGCGGTAATTGGGGACAGGCTGAAGGTGGATGACGAAGTGGGCGAAGGGAGGCTGGGTTCAACGACGTTCATTTGGGTCGATGAGTTGGAGACCAGATCAGCTTGGGTCGGTGTCGTGGGGAGCATATTGGGGATGGGTTGGTACTGGAGAATGAGTGGCCGCCTCAGGAGGCGGTAGGGCTGTAAGAAATCATCCCAAACCCGACGAATCCGGCTGAGCCAAGCCGACCCTACTCGAAAATCACGGGTTTCCAATTTTTTATTTAATTTTCAGTTTTAATTATGCTTAACCCGCACTGCGCGGGTAGGGGCACGGGGTGGGGTTACATGAACCCGAGGTAACCCTACCCAGCCGAACATGTTCAAAGTAGGTAAAATAATGTCCAACACTTCAAATTCTTACTTTCATAAGTTTATGAACTTTATGCATTTAAACTGTTAACTTATTTATGTTTTGGATTCACGATTTGTGTAAAAAATGCTTGTATGCCATAGTTGTTGAATTAGGACATTCTTTATTTATATTGGAAGTGTTTGATTTCAAAGTGAGTGTTTTAATTGTTCACCTTGCATTTAGACCCCCTCTTGAAGGAAATGCATGTTCTGTTTGATAATGATTTTTTCTGTAACAAGCACATATTAATTGACTAAAAAGTGATCATGTGGTCCTTGAGATCACCAACCCGAGTAACCCGACCCTACCCGAGGTCACCCGAAAGGTTGCGGGTTTGTAGACTTAAGAGAGTGCCGCGGCCTAAAATTTTCTCAACCCGCACTGGTCGGGTAGGCTCAATTTTTTAGCTCAATCCTACCCTACCCGGCTGATTTACACCCCTAGGAGGCGGCAATGGCCTCGGGGGCTAGGTTGATTTCTATTTTCGTTTTTTTAATTTTTGTTTTGGTTTTTTTCTTAGCCTTTGAATGTTATTTGATTTTTGTGTCATTTTATATTAAGGGGTTATTTGGTTAGGGGATTCGTATCCCGATTCGAATCATAGTTCATGGTTCGTTATAGTATTTTTTCTCATAAAAAATACACGTAAATAAAAAATAGTTCTAATCTCGTGATTTTAATTCATGAACTAAACATCTTCTAAGTAATTGGTTTTTTATCAACAATTAAGGTTACATTTTAAAATATTTTTTATTAACTTGTAATGGCATGACCCTATAGCAGTCTGTTAAAATTATAAACAGAAATAAACGGATGGGTTGTCGTTTTCTATACCTTAGGAAGTATTTTAAATCGTTTTGAAAAAAAAAAAAAAAAAAAAAAAACATTTTAAAACAATGTACATATTTCACGCATTTACGAAAATAATTCTTAAAAAAAAAATTTTAATTAAGGCTCATTTAGTTTATTAATTTGAGTTTTTAATTTGAGTTAAGATATAATTTTATGTGAGAATTTTTTACTGTAATAAAAAAATTAGATGTGATTGTCTATAAGAGTTTTTATTATAGGAAAACTCAAATTCTAAATGAAATGAACTGAGTATCTTCTTCCCTTCTCCACCATCGGACCCAAACTTTCCCCACAGCTGGAGAATCATCCCCGAGAAGATCTCTCGACTTCGTTCCGCACGATACCAAAGTCGGCAGCTTGGCCCCCTTCGCCCCCCACTGTTGAACCCCTAAAGACTCGGCCACCTTCGAGATTTGGCCCCTCCTCCGACGGCGCCGCCACAAACCAGACAAAACCCGTTACCCTTTATGCAAGTACGCAAGCCCTTTCTTCTAGTTTTTGACCAGCACCTCCCATGAATTAGTTCTCATTTTTCACTTCTCAAAAAGAACTTTGATTATCTTCCTTTTTTCTTTACGATTATATTTCTTCGAACAACAAATTCAATATCTTGGTCTAAAAAAATGTAGATGTTGATGGATTTGAAAGGATCTTTTCATCAATAAACTTGGTTACTAGTACAGTGGGTGATTTTGTCTAAATTCCTGAAGTACTTTGCTAATTGGAACTCAACCTTGAACTCAAAAGTGAATCAGCCGCTTCAAACAAATAAACGGAAAAAAGAAAAAGAAATACGGGTTGAAAACACCCAAAAATTGCTGCCGAAACAACAATCGTGTAAGCATTTGGAGATATGCCTAAGTATTTTAGGTTGTTTAATGAAATGTTTGCTTTCATGTTTTTCTTCGTCAAAAGTTTTCTTTTTTCTTCATTTCTTGTAATTTCTTTTCACCGACGATGACGCCGTGGGTGGAGGGCACTATGGTGGCGGATGGAGAGTTGCCGGAGGCGGCGGATGGAGTTCGCCAGTTTGGGGGTTCACAATCAGATCTGGGTTTGGGTTTGAAGCTTCAAAATTTTTTTTTTTTTTTTTGGCATAATCAAGTGTAGCTTATTTTACACTTAGGTCTTATTAACTTCTTGGATTTTAATTTTTTAATTTTAACACATCTTTTTTTGTTCGTAAAATTTTAATTTAAATTGAAATATAATATTTTTTAAAAAATTTTAATTATAATAAAAAATATTAAATATT